TTATAAAAAACGAAACGAAATATAGATCTATATTTTAATTAGATTGGGTTGTCATATAACCCGCGTTCTGGATAAGCTGAGGGATTAGCCAATGAAACGGTCTGTTAAGGCGAGTTTTTGGCTTAAGGTGTACGGAACTAGAAACCCATCAGAAACATCAACGCTGATTGGTTATTTAAATGTCTGACGTCATAGGGTCAAAAGCCGCTCGCATGACCCCTGACACGACCTTCCACTACAACCGGCCAGATTTTTATGTAGTGTAGGTCATGGAAAGTATGAAAAAACGAAACGGGGTAAAAGCGTGGTCGGAAATGATTGCCGAGTCACGGCGTTTGTTTTGTGCATGTTCAAAGCAAACGCCAAGGTTCTGCGATCTGATATGGAAAGCTATGAGAACGCGACTTTTCTCAAGTTTGTAATTTTTTTTTTGGACATTTTCTCACGTTGTGTTAACGTTTGCCGGCGACCTTGAGCATTTACTGCTCGCCGTACGGTCGCAGCGGCGCAGTACTTAAGAACGCCACCCTGGTCTGAATAGAGTTCCATAGAAATGAAATGAAATGGGGTTTAACGTCCTACTGTTCTGCTCCTATACTGGGCTAATGAAGACGGGCATACGCCATACAGTGTGCTATGAGGGAAATTTTGCCCGGGCAGCGGCACTATCGCCTACTCTTATATCGAATTCCATCTGCCAAGGGATCTTTTACGTGTATTCCAATGTTTACACGGCACATCCGAAGGACTAGGCAGCTGTCCTTGTCAGGCCCTCCGTCCTGCATCACTGACAAGGGGAAACCACGTCGGAAAATCGGGATCCACTTTCTCGGCCAATGCAGGGATCGAACACCCGACCTCCAGGTTAGCGAGCCAGCGCCTTACCCACCTAGCCAGTGTTCCATAGGGTTTGTACCATGTAGAAGAATGATTTAAGTCTATATGTTAGGTATTCACTCTGCGATCTTTGTGGTTTGTACTCCGTAAGCATGCTACTTAGATAAGTTGGGTATGTTCGTTTAAGGCATTTATAGGCTACACAAAGAAATTTAAAATTGATTCTGCTTTGGACTGGAAGCCAATGACGATTTTGCCGGAGTGGTGTTTTATACGGCGAGTTGTGGTAGACTGTAATTGATTAATGAGATTTTGATGGAGAATCGAGATGAGTTGATTGAGACCTAAGAAGTGACTAATGAATTAATCAATTTTTGACATAACTAAACAAGGAATCAGTGTATAGGTGGAATATGTTGCGATTAAATTACAGATTGGACGAATGGATCGCAAATGAAAGTAGCAAATCTAATCAATACAATTAACTCGCTTTTCTATGTCCAGTTCCATATCAATAAACACTGGTATTGAAGAGGGGGAGGAGTGGGTCGAGGGGAGGAGTGGATCGAGGGGGAGGAGGAGTGGGTCGATGCGTCTAACACATGCGCTTTAGATCATAAGGTCTGTCTTTTAGTCAAATGGGTCAGTTTCGATCCTAAGCTCTTTCGGATGGACGAAAAACCGTCAAGAGATCTTTTACGTGCACGCCAATGTGTACCCAGTCGGAGCAGAACAGTATGACATTAAACCCCATTTCATTTCATTTCGATCCTAAGATGGTACGTGACAATAAGTGGGGTTCCGCTGTATCCTGCCATTAATAAAAACTCCAACGCGTAAGCTATTGAAATAAAGGTCGTTCGGATGGGACGAAAAACCGAGGACCCGTGTATACATTGGCGTGCACGTAAAAGACCCCTTGGCATTTGGAATTCGATACAAGAGTAGGCCATAGCTTGTACGTGACAATAACTGGGGTTCCTCTGTTTCCTCCCTGTAATAAATTGTACAAGTGTCCGGGCGAAATGAAATGAAATGAAATGAAATGGGGTTTAACGTCCTACTGTTCTCCTCCCATACTGGGCTAATGAAGACGGGCATACGCCATACAGTGTGCTATGAGGGGAATTTTGCCCGGGCAGCGGCACTATGGCCTACTCTTATATCGAATTCCAACTGCCAAGGGATCTGTTACGTGCACGCCAATATGTACACGGGACCTCGGTTTTTCGTCCCATCCGAACGACTAGACAGCTGTCCTTGTCAGGCCCTCCGTCCTGCATCACTGACAAGGGGAAACCACGCCGGAAAATTCTAGATGAACTTTCTCGACCAATGCAGGGGTCGAACACCCGACCTCCAGACTAGCGAGACAGCGTCTTACCCACTTAGCCGGGCGAAACTCCCTCATAGCACACTTCATGGTGTATACCCATCGTCAATAGTCCGGTTGGTGCCGAAACATGGGACTTGATTTGATTTACGTCACCACAGATGTCATGTTAGATATAGTTAGAGTTAAAACCATGGAAACACATGAAATGTTTTTGTTTTTAAATCAAACTACAGAGATAGACAGCGGTTGTTATTAAAGATTATAACTGACGTCACTGACATCTTGAAGGACATCAGATAAACCGTAGAATAATAAAATGATAGATAATCGATGTGTGCTTAAAACATACATGTATATATCTGACCCTGATTTCACGAAACATTGTTCTCCTTATTTTAACTATAATATAGCCCTTTATAAAACTTTTGTTGTTTTAATGTAGCAAATACATCAATAAGAAATTATGTGTAAAGTTTTGTGTTTTTGGATCAAAGATATTTCTCATAAACAGTGATTGAAAGTTGAGTAAATTCTCAACTAAAGTCTAAGAATGTTTTGTAAATTCGGGGCCGGAATTAGGCGGTGGCAACGGAACTATGTTTTGAGTGGATTAGTAGATTTTAAATTCTGGAGTGGGGGTGGGGGAAGGGTGTCTCCCACAGCCCCTGGAGAATAAAAATTGTTGTATCCTAGATTTATATTTTAGTAGATCTGCTGGAATATACCTATTACACTCGGCAAACCTCGGCAGATTCCGTTACTCTACGTCTTGTACTATAAGGAAAACTTGCGGGTTTTATCAAAATTGCGTCGTTCGAAGCGTGTGTAGAATTTTTAGTTCAAAGTTGTCCTTGTTTGAAGAAATTAGGATAAACTTGAAAGAAAAACAGCTTCAGACTTTGAAATATTTGTATAATAAAACATTTTTCAAAGGCGTCGTCATGTGCAACGCCGTTGGTAAATTTCAACATTGGTAATTTCCGCCATTCTTCGTGGGTAGTCGTAACTTTCCGTATCTGTGACGTCATTTTAGTCCTGCTCTAATTCTAGTCTATATTTCTATCTGCAGAAGGACTAAAATGACGTCGAGAGAGAGAGAGAGAGGGGGAGAGAGAGAGAGGAGAGAGAGAGGGAGAGAGGGGGAGAGAGAGAGAGGAGAGAGAGAGGGAGAGAGGGAGAGAGAGAGAGGAGAGAGAGAGGGAGAGAGGGAGAGAGAGAGAGGAGAGAGAGAGGGAGAGAGAGAAATGGGGTTTAACGTCCACTCGACACAAACTAGGTCAATTCGGGACTGACGTGGTTTATTTTTTTTATTTCAATAATTCGCTTGCGCGTTTGGGTCTTTAGCAGTGGGAGGAAACCGGAGGACCCGTTGTAAACCCACAAGGATGGACAGGCGACTCTACTCCTTGTCACGTACAACCGGGGATTCGAAACCACGCCAGTTGACTCAATGACAGGCCTTATGATACGTTAACCCCCCCCCCTCCTCTCTCTCTCCTTAACACAGATGTCATTCATTACGTTAATTATAATTTATCTAATGGAGGTCACCATTATGACGTATGCTGTTGTTGAATACGTCATGGGTAGATATTAAGGTCTCAGATTATCATGGACTGTCATTTAAGACGCAAGAAGTCGACTTGACATAACGGATTGACACCAGATTAAACTTCTCGACATTTCTGTTCCTGATGCTGAGTTAAGTTCGAGTTTTGTAACAGTAACAGGAGAACCGCACCACACACAAACACACGGACACTGTGAGTAATAGGTAACAAAGGTACTATCGTTTATTCCGCTGTACAGTTCAGAGTCTGCAGCTTCACTCAAAATAAAAACAAACTCACAAGAGAGACAGCCCACAAAAAACAGAAATTGAAACAGTATTTTAATACAGTTAGAAATCAAATCTAGATTACAACTAGAGTATTGACATGTAACGTGATTCAATCACTCCGGGTGCTCCGGTTTTCTCCCACAGAACAACGCGTGCTCTAAGCATAATAAAATAAGACAATCTGTCTGCGATATCACCATCGGTGGACGTGGACGTTAAACACTAATAGAAGAAGAAAGAGAGAGAGAGAGAGAGAGAGAGAGAGAGAGAGATGGGGTTTAACGTCCACTCGACACAAACTAGGTCATTTCGGGACTAACATATGGTTTAATTTTATTTCAATAATTCGCTTGCGCATAGGGGTCTTTAGCAGTGGGAGGAAACCGGAGGACCCGGAGAAAACCCACGAGGTTGGACAGGCGCCCCTACTCCTTGTCACGTACAACCGGGGATTCGAAACCACGCCAGTCGACTCAATGACAGACTTTATGATACAGCGCGCGCGCACGCTAACCATTCAGCCATCCAACCCCCCTAATAGAAGAAGAAGGTTTTACTCAACACCAATGACACTGGCTTGTTTATGGCGCCTGCAGTGGATGTCAAAGGTCGCCAATTAATTTCGTCATCTTTCTAAATACTCAACGAATGTTTTGCGCTGATATACTGTACATTTTTGAGATTAAACTTTCACGACATTGTCTAAGCCCTTTAAATTAAAAATTAGAAATTAAGGACATAAATACAAGATGAGTTGAAAACAAGGTTGACAAACTGTCGGGATGGTTGACATAGATAACATATATAAATAACAAACTTATATTTACCTACATCATGACAATAATAATAAACTTGTTGCCATTGTCAAAATATTTCTCTCAATGTGGTCGTTATTATTTAATAAAATTTAAATTGTTTTTTTTTTAAATTGCTGTTTCAAATTGCCAATAATTTAAGTATAAAATGAAAATGTTTTGTATTTTGTAGATGTCAGTGGCAGATTGTATATATATATGATAGTAAAATATACCACTGTGACGTCACTATTAGCAAGGTGCGTGTTTTAAATGGATATTATATTTTGTTAGTATTAGAAGATAAAGATAGTCAGGTAAGTCAGATTAAATATACAGTTTATCTTATATTATATATTACCACAAGTCATATAGATATTTTAATAATTTATCTGGTAAGTTTTTTTGTTTTTATATTTTCTTTGGTTTTATTTGAAACAACCCTTGGTGTCAGTAGGTTTCAATATAAAGGGATGTTTAATAGTTTTATTGGAGATACATTCACCTGGTGATATATTCATGCATTTTGTAATCAGGAGAGCGAGAGAGAGAGAGAGAGGAATGAGGTTTAACGTCCACTCGACACAAACCAAGTCATTTCGGGACTAACATATAGTTCAATTTTATTTCAATAATTCGCTTGCACGTAGGGCTCTTTAGCAGCGGGAGGAAACCGGAGGACCCGGAGAAAACCCACGAGGTTGGATAGGCGACCCTACTTTTTGTCACTTACTACCGTGGAATCGAAGCCACGACAGTTGACTCAATGACAGACCTTATGATACAACGCACAACGCCATCAAACCCTCCATTTTGTAATCGCAGAAGTGATTCCATCACCTACCTTATTCTAGGTTGCCACTGTCATGATTCCTACTACGATTGAAATCGTGGTTTTAATCGTTGAGTAATCGTGGGGATCCTATCAGGTCTTATATATTGTGGTCAGTACGTACCGAAACGTATCCGAACGTATCTGCACGTACCAGATCGTGGACTCAATCGGGGCAACCCTTTCGCAACGCATCGCACGAAAGTGTGAAACCTAGCAACCACCATTTGCTTTTTTTATTTCTTAGAAATTTACCCATTAACAATTTAAAAGAAATGTCTGTTTTTTCTGTTACAATAAAAACTAACAATAGATTGTCAGACCGTCATTATATGAGATGAAAGAAAAAGATAATAACATTTTCATCATCTCTAGAAAGCTATTGAAAATATTCCTTTATCTCATTTATTTAAACAAATAGCAACAGAGGGTATTAAAGAACAAATCGGGTCAGTGGGGGAGTGCATATGACACGGGAACACACCAGTACAGGCGTTATAGAACACACTAAATACAGTATGGGAACACGCTATGGACAGTACATACCATATGGGAACAAACCAAGAGGCAGTACATGTCATATGGAAACACGCTAAATACATTACATGTCATATGGAAACACGCTATGGACAGTATATACCATATGGAAACAAACCAAAAGGCAGTACATGTCATATGGAAACACGCTATGGACAGTACATACCATATGGAAACAAACCAAAAGGCAGTACATGTCATATGGAAACACGCTATGGACAGTACATACCATATGGAAACAAACCAAAAGGCAGTACATGTCATATGGAAACACGCTATGGACGGTACATACCATATGGGAACAAACCAAAAGGCATACCATATTGAAACACGCTATGGACAGTACATACCATATAGAAACACACCAAGAGGCAGTACATACCATATGGGAACACACTAAATACAGTACATACCATATGGAACAAACTACCACAGTTAATGAAACAATTGCCGCCATTTTAAATCTCAATTCAACACATTCTTGTTTCAGAACCCTGGTCTGTAAGTAATCAGTGAATATAAAACCAACAACACCGTAGAAACTGGGTTTTGTTTTTCAGTATTAACGCATTTTATAAATAACAATATTATTATTATTATTATTATTATTATTATATGGGAACACATCAACAGGCAGTACATGCCATATGGGAACACAACAAAGACAGTTCATATATTGTGTGCGAACACACCAAAAGCAGTACAAACCACATGAAAACATATCAAATACAGTACATGCCATATAGGAACACATCAAGGGCAGTACATATGACAGACTATATGAATACACCAAAGACAGAACGTGCCATGTGGGAACACAGCAAAGACAATACATACCACATGAAACACATCAAAGGCATACGGGAACACACTAAAGACAGTACATTCTATATACCAAATGGAAACACAGAAAAGTTAGTACATGCCATATGGGAACACATTAAAGCTACAATTTCATATTTTTAAGTTATATTTTTAAAATTTATTAAAATAAAGCCTTAAAATAGATGATATCTATAAACAGTCCTACCTTGTTAATGAATAGCCCTATTAATCCTATAATTCACTATTGCCAGTTGAGAAATTGGCAAAAATATCATTTTCAACTTTAAATTCAAACTTTAAATCCGGGGTCAAATGATTTTTAAGTGGGAGAATAATACCTATGATCGTATAATAGTGAGTTGACAACCTATGGAACAAAAGACATAGAAATAATGTTGTTTTGACTTTCTTAGAAAATATGAAATTCTGGCTTTAAAGATAGTACATACCATAAGGGGACACACCAAGTATAGGAGCTCAGACAAATATGAGGGACAGAGTTATTGTTTATTACAGATTTAACGTACAATATTATATTAAATATGATATTATGGACAGGTTGATTTAATTAAAGTATTTACACTTTAAAGCCACAGATACGCAAATCAAAATCATACAGACTTAGCTACTTTAAAACCATAAATACTCAATCAAAATCATACAGACTTAGCTACTTTAAAACCATAAATACTCAATCAAAATCATACAGACTTAGCCACTTCAAAACCACAAATACTCAATCAAAATCATACAGACTTAGCCACTTTAAAACCACAAATACTCAATCAAAATCATACAGACTTAGCTACTTTAAAACCATAAATACTCAATCAAAATCATACAGACTTAGCCACTTTAAAACCACAAATACTCAATCAAAATCATACAGACTTAGCTACTTTAAAACCACAAATCTATCAAAATAATCACCCGGAGCTGCTCCTTTGGACGAAATTCACCTTGGATGCTTCCCTGCAAAGACAGTGTGTCTTACCCGATTAAACTGGACCAAGCCTAATTTTGTGGCTTCCTCTGGCAAGTTTCTTAGGAAACATTTGTCTACGATATCACCCGTGGTGAAAATGGACGTAAAACTCCAGTAACGAACGAACGAATCAAATCATAGAGACTCGGCGCCTTTAATACTCAATCATTATCTTATAACTATTTTCATTAAAAACTTATTCTGTCGAATCGATTAATTCTAAACTAATCTGAAACCAAGTGAATTATTATTACAGCAATTTGTTTCATGTCAACACCAGAATTAAATACGTCAAGCGTTACATGAGTTTGAGTAGGGAACGAGTTGGTTAGGAATGGTAGGAAAAATATTGATTATTTTCTACCCAATCGTGGATGTGAATTCAAATGGTTATATTACAGAAATATAGCACACCATTATGACTACTTATCTCCTTGTGAATTTTTCTTAATCGTATTAATTGCCTTGTTTTGGTGATTGTCTGTTTGACCTGGACGATCTCAGTTAAACATACATTATACAAGACCTAAATTTGCCTATTGTAGGTCTTTCTTTAGGCCAGAAATGTTATCTAAATTATTAATTAGACATTAATTAACTTATCCAGGCCATAATCAACTCTCGGTGGCATCAGATTTCTCCGATATTAAATAGATTAGAACAGTTCAGCCATATTTTGATTTAAGCTAAAAATGGAGGAGCGGGACTTAGCTTCGAACAACCAGTACGACGGTTGAAATTATTGCACACGTCTTGTCAAACCTTCAAAGGCTAATATCTTCGCTCGCAATAGAAATAAGTTGAATGAAATTTTCAAATTATTCATTTTACATTATCTATTTTCGAACTATTATAGCAAGAATGGCTAGCTCTTTATCTAAATCTTACATAATGTATCTTTAATTGCCTCGTTTTGTTGATTGTCTATTTGAGCTGGATGATCGCGGTTAACTCGTCTGGTTAACAGGAAGTGCTTTGTACCTAACACAATGACACAATGGGCGGCATGGTAACGCCACCTATAAACAGGAAGTGTTTTGTACCTAACACAATGACACAATGAACGACATGGTACAATCGTAACACCTGCTTTGTAACACGTCCCTGTGATTGTAAGCGATTGCTGAACACAAACTTTTAAGCCTGTTGGGGTGTTGGTTGGTCTAGTGGCTTAACGCGTGCGCGTGAAATCATAAGGACTGTCATTGAGTCGTGTGAATGGAATGAAAAACCGAGGTCCGCTGCACACGCTCCCCCATAGCATACAATATCCTCGTTATCCCCGGCGTTGTTGATCAGTGGGACGTTAAATGTCTCTTTTATACCACATTGCAACATGCTTACAGAGAGGGAGAGAGAGAGAGAGAGAGAGAGAGAGAGATGGGGTTTAACGTCCACTCGACAGAAACTAGGTCATTTCGGGACTAACACATGGTTTAATTTTATTTCAATAATTCACTTGCGCGTAGGGGTTTTTAGCAGTGGGAGGAAACCGGAGCACCTGGAGAAAACTCACGAGGTTGGACAGGCTACCTTACTCCTTGTCACGTACAACCGGAGAATCGAAACCACGTCAGTTGACTCAATGACAGACCTTATGATACAACCCCTATAGTGTCACAATGACCAGCGTACTGTATTGATGGGACACTGAACCCCTTTCCCTAAGATAATGGTGTCACACCTTTATAAACCTTAGATACAATAAATAAAGTGGGGTATTGAACGTAAAGAATAAATAATAACTAATGTCAATATTGAATAAACCGTTAACTAAACAAATATACCATAGTATTCAATCATTTTACTGTGAATCTTGAAATATCTCGCCAATGCAAATACCTAATCATTGAATACACGTATCAGTGGGATAATAAATGAAATGAAATGGGGTTTAACGTCCCACTGTTCTGCTCCGAACTGTGCTAATGAAGACGGACATACGCCCGGACAGCGGCACAATGGCCTACTCTTAGATCGAATTCCAACTGTCAAGGGATCTTTTACGTACACGCCAATGTGTACACGGGACCTCAGTTTTACGTCCCATCCGAACGACTAGACAGCAGTCCTTGTCTGGCCCTCCATCCTGCATCACTGACAAGGGGGAACCACGCCGGAAAATCTGGATGAACTTT